CCATGCAGTATTTGTCCTTGTGTGACTGAGATATTTCACTCAACATAATGTCCTCCAGGGTTACCCATTTTGAATAATATTGCATGAGTTCCTTGTTTTTTCATTGTGTGTAGTATTCCATTGTGTGAATATACCACAGCTGCTCTATTCATTTGTTTGTTGATGGGCACCTGGGTTGTTTCCAACTCCTTGCTATTGTGAACAAAGCCACAATAAACATGGGTGTGCATATTGTTCATTGTTTATAATGATTACATGTTCATTGTAGAATTTTTTTTTAATGCCCCAAAGTATAAAATAAAAATCACCTTTAGCCTTACTCCCCAGAGATTTCCTTCCCGGCTAAGTCTGTGCGTCTGTACATCTTTCTCATGTCCATCCTGAAGTGAGAAGTAAAAGCCCTCTCTGCCTCTCTCTTCCAGTGTGGGCAGACCGAAGCATGTGCGTGTCATGGCAGGCGCTCTTGAAGGTGATATCTTCATTGGTCCCAAAGCTGAGGTAAATTGTAGGCCAACAAAAGAAGCTTCAAGAACCAGCAAAGCACTGTCATTATTCACCACATGGGAAGTCTCAGCGCTTACATACAGCCATGAGAAAAAGGAGCAATTCTCTTAAAATATTCCTTCATCCTTTTTTCTCTGTTGTCTCACTTACCTTGCTAGTGCTTACAATGACTGTCTTGGTTATCTTTTTTGGCAGAAGCATAGAGGGACATCCCGCCTGGGATACCCTGGGGATGAGTTAATTAGCAGTTTTGGCAGAGCACTCAGGCAGCCAGTAGTAAACAGAACAACACAATCACTATTGCCAACATTAGCCCCAGTGCTGAGACCTAGAGGTGGAGCCAGATTGTTAAAAGAGCCAGAAGATTATGTTCTGGGACCACACTGTGAGGATGTGCCTCCTGTCTCTCATATTAGGGCCACTTGAGGGCCCATGGAGACGCAGAAACCCTCTGCTTTGCTGGGTGCTTGGGCAGGGAGGACAGTCTGTAGGAGAATGGGTATCTCTCTTTAGTCCAGATGTGAGAGCTAAAGCCTTCACATCGTAGTGGGAGCTCAGAGAGCCGAGTATGGCTGCCCCTTTGCAACCACCTCCTGCCAACTCAGCCACAGCACCATTCTTGGAGAGCAAGGTACCTGGCTAAGAGGCTGACTGCTGCTGCCACTTCCTGCTCTCTGCCCCCAGGAGCACCGAGGGCTGCTCTCCATCCGCTACCCAATGGAGCATGGAATTGTCAAGGACTGGAACGACATGGAGCGCATCTGGCAGTACGTCTATTCAAAGGACCAGCTGCAGACTTTCTCAGAAGAGGTAAGGGTCCTGTTTGTGAGCCCCTTTCACACAGGGATGCAGAACTGGCCAAAATCTCAACCTCGGTGATTATGATGCTGAGAACTTGCCAAGAGGATTTGAGTGGTTACTGTGTGCTGGAAACTAGGCCGTATGGTTTTCAGACAGGCTTATTTGATTTTTTTTTTCTACAAAAGGATACTTTAATTTCTGTCCTATAAAGACTATACATGATTTGGAAATGAGACTGTCCCATCAGGGCAACGAAGACACGTCCAGGCTAGACCTTCTCCTTGGTCTGGTCACTCAGAAATATGTTATCTGCTATGATGGTCGTGGCCTGTCTCCGCACATTGTTCTTGTCTGTGTATTCGCCGTAGTCGACCTTTCCTTCAATGTATATTCGAGACCCTTTCTTCACATACTGATAGGCGACGTCCCGCACACTTTTCCTTTGAGGTCTAGGTAGTTTTGTCTCCGTTTTACAAGCAAAGTAACAGAGGTTCAAAGGAAACAAGTACTATTTCTAAGATCACAGAGTGAATAAAGTGGCAAAGCTGGGAGTCAAATCCATGTCCTTTGAACTACAGAGCCTATATATGCTGTAACTTCTAAGGAACTATCAACTCAGAAATGTGAATGAAAATGCTTACTAAAATTCCAGAATTTCCAGAGGAAGAATGTGTTCACTGTTAAAAAAAGTATAGTAAAAATTTTGGAAACATAAAAATTTTAGGATTTTTATCATAATAATTCAGAATTTAGAGCTTAATAGAATCTTCTTGACAGTTGGAGGAGTACTAAATATAGGGGCCTATATAATGAGCTCTGGTAGCTTAGTGTTTAAGCACTCAGCAGCTAACTGAAAGGTCTGTGGTTTGAACCCACCAGCCCCTTCACATGAGGAAGATGTAACTGTCTGCTTTTGTAAAGATTCCAGCTTTGGAAACCCTATGGGATAGTTCTCCTCTGTAGGGCCCCTCTGACTTGGAATTGAATCAGCAGCACAGCAATGAGTAGGATTTATATAATAATCTTAAAGGACAAGAAGGAAGTGAGGGGGTAGAGTAAGCACAGAGTGAGACTTTAAAGAGGGCATGGATTTGCCAAGTTGAGAAACTGACTGTGGCAGAGGAAGGTGATAAACCAGCTTGGCTTTTTTGGAAGGAGTGTGAGAGGTGGCCCCTTAGTCACACAGGAGCATTGCTGAATACTAATGAGGGATGCAGATCTGGTCTTCCCTGATTGCCACCTGGGCATTTTTTTTCACCAGCATCCTGTACTCCTGACGGAGGCACCTTTAAACCCACGGAAAAACCGGGAACGAGCGGCAGAAGTTTTCTTCGAGACCTTCAACGTGCCAGCCCTTTTCATCTCCATGCAAGCTGTGCTCAGCCTGTGAGTAGCAGTCTGGTTGGCCAGCCCAGCCGCTTGGGCAGAATTAACTCTCCTTCAAGTTAGGCTGGTTCAGGGGAGTTTGAGTATCCTGTTAGGGAAGGGTTAAAGGTGGCAGGACAGGGAGAGTTTGGTGCCCAAGGCTCTCTCCTGAGCCTGCTGAGAAGGCCACATGCTGCAACAGCATGGCCATAGAGCCTCTGTAATGTGTTCAAATATTTATTTAGTGCCTCCTGTGAAATACAGCTCTGGTGAAAGTACTACCCCACTCCTTTTCTCTGGTCCCTCATTCCTGCCATGCTTCCAGTGCAGACATCATGCACTGGTGGCCTGCAGGTGGAATTGTTAGGCTCCACCAAAAAAATAGCAAGCCAACATTTAAAGACTTGGGAATTTTATATCAAAATCCAGTTTCAGGCCTCTCTTGAAAAATAGCAAAACCTGATCATTCTATTTTTTTTTTAAAACCTGATCATTCTTGGCTTGCATTTCTTTAGGGCAAAAGTCACCTGGAGCTGCCCTTTTAGATGACATAGTTCACCATTCCCTGCTGCCTTTCCATCACTGAGGCAGCATGTGACAGTTGCTGTTTATCAAAGAATTGAGTTTTTCCTCCTGTCTCAGTAGAAAAACCTGTCTGTGCCCTAGTGTGCCAAAAGAAAGAAAACGAAAGACAGAGCTAGAAGGCCATATGGGGAAGAAAATCTAGTTTTTAATGGGGGTGAAAAATATTCTCTTTTCCCTTTCCCCCTTTCATGTACTTGTCTGGCCCCTGTAGACATTTGAGTCCTTTCCTTCTCTAGAGCATGAAAACTCTGCCTCTGGCCGAGTCCCCTGGAGTGGTTGATGACCAGACCCTCTAGACACAGGGGAGGGAGTTTGGAGGAGCCTCGCTCCTTTCTCCAGGTAGTTCGAGGCTTGCTTCCATGCTCAGGCATCCCTAGTTCTCAGCCAGCCTAAGGAGCACCTTGCAGAGTGCAGCCCACCACTGGGATTAGCAGATCGAACTCTAAAAAGAAGTGTTTCTTCCAAGGCTGAGGGGACAAGGGATAGTGACAGTTTGTCCTCATTGCTTCAGTTACGCCACAGGTCGGACCACAGGTGTGGTGCTGGATTCTGGGGACGGTGTCACCCATGCTGTGCCCATCTACGAGGGCTTTGCCATGCCCCACTCTATCATGCGCATCGACATTGCCGGCCGTGATGTCTCCCGCTTCCTTCGCCTCTACCTGCGCAAAGAGGGCTATGACTTCCACTCATCCTCCGAGTTCGAGATTGTCAAAGCCATAAAAGAAGTGAGTGCTGCTCCAGGGGGCCTTCATGTGGTGCCGAATGGGAGGAGAGCATCCTGGGTGACCTGGGGGTGAAGGGAAGCAAAGCTAGTTTCCATCCTGAGGATCAGACTCCTTTCTCCCAAGCTGCCAGCCACACACTGACAGGTCCACCTTCCTGATGTGCTGCCACCTGGTGGGGGGAACAGAAACGGCTTTTTATTAAGTTAGAAGGGCGATGGGCTTACATTATCATTTTAAATTTTATACCTTGGGTGTAAATTACAAGGATTCATATTGGCACTGTGGTTTAAAACACTTGGATACTGTCCAAAAAATAGTGTGACCCCACCAGCCAGCTCTGCATTGGAGAAAGCTGCAGCAGTCAGCTTCCACGTTTATGGTGTTTCAAACCCTGTGGGGCAGTTCTGCTCTTGCTGTCAGTTGCAGTGGATTGAAGGCTTTAGTTGAGTATAAGCTACAGATGTTCTTTTACATCCTCAAAAAGGCATGAGACATTTTTCTTTTTAAATAAACTGAACTTTCCCCCAAAAGCTACAGGGAAGCCTCTGAGCCAGATAGAAAGAGCTCAGCCACAGTCTTTCTGAGAAATATGAGGAAACTGCTGTCTGGGCCTGGGCTAAAACTGAGCACTGGTTTAAAATTCCAGATCCAAAAATCCAGGGTCCCAAGCTGGCCCACCAGGAATAGGCAGAGCAGCTAAGAAAGCACATTCGAACTGTGACCCTGAGGAGGTCAGCAGAGGGGGCTCCCTGCACCAGTTAGTGGGCAGCAGCTCATAGGACCTCGAGAAGGGCAATTTTCAGTGGCAACACACCGGTCCCCCTGACCTTGACCAAGTGTGCCCTTGATTCCCACCAGCCTGACTGTTGTGCTTGGTTCTGCAGCGAGCCTGCTACCTGTCCATAAACCCTCAGAAGGATGAGACACTGGAGACAGAGAAGGCTCAGTACTACCTGCCTGATGGCAGCACCATTGAGGTAGGTGACTGGACCTCTTCACTCATTCTCCTTAACCCCACAAAGGTTCTGGACCCAGCTGTCCTGACCATGAGAAGATTGGCATCAGATGGACCAAACACAGTGCTGCACAAGGAGGTGGCAAGGACTTTTCCTCCACCTCGTGTGGAGGGGATGAGCCCCCAGAGGTACTTTCCCAGGTCAGGATGGGATCAGGAAGTGGGATGATCAGTGCTGCCCTTGACCTCTCATGGGCACTGCATAAAGTGGCCTTCGGACTGAGCTACCTCTTCCTGAAACTCAGATAAGAAGAAGAAATCCACATGAATGAATGTGTCCAGGTATTAATGCCAAAGGTTACTTAGCTGAAAAATGCTAAAGCTAGGATTAAATGTTTCCTCAGAGGTTCTATATCTTATATTTTGTTCCTCAAAGCCCTTGACATTTTGGATCTTTCCTGAGCCTGGCCTTCAAGACCCCGGTTATAATTAACTGGCCATAGGAGCTTTTCCATTTCTTACTCCCCACCCCAAAAAAGACCTCAGCTGCAGTCCCTGCCTGAAGCTGGCCCTCCACCCTACAGATAGGTCCTTCCCGATTCCGGGCACCCGAGCTGCTATTCAGGCCAGACCTGATTGGCGAGGAGAGCGAGGGCATCCATGAGGTCCTGGTGTTTGCCATCCAGAAGTCGGACATGGACCTGAGGCGCACACTTTTCTCCAACATCGTCCTCTCTGGAGGCTCCACCCTGTTCAAAGGTTGGTCTTGGCTCCTGGGCCCTTCCTCAGGGACTTTCCATACCCTGCTGGGTGGGGCCAACACTCAGAATTGAGATTCTCTTTTTCTGCCTCTGCAGGTTTTGGTGACAGGCTATTGAGTGAAGTGAAGAAACTGGCTCCGAAAGACGTGAAGATCAGGGTAGGAGCATGGCAGGAACCAGACCTGGGGGGACTAGGCCTCCAAGGACCTGCAGTGCTGTGTGGTGTGACTCCTAGCAACAGTTTCTCAGTCTGCACCCTGAGACCACCCTCCCAGAGGGGGACCCGTTATCTTTCTCCCTCTTCACTTGACAGGGGGGCAGTTCCAATACCCACCCCCAGGGTAGGGTCCTAAGCTGAGCACTCCATACGTGGTCTTGCCAAGAAATGATATAAATGGCAGACTGACTTTTGTTGGTTCTGCATCCCTGCCCGGGGGCTCCCTGTAATACAGTCTAGCCACTTAGTAACGGAAGGGAGCTCTGGTGGTCTAGTAGCAAGAAGCTGCACTGCAATCCCAGAGGTATATGGTTTGAATCCACCAGATGCTCTGCTGGAGAAGGAGGGGCAATCTCCTCCTGTGCCAGTCAGATCTGATTTGACAGTACACACACACACAAATTATAAAAATTAAAAAAAATTTAAAAAAAAAAGAAGGGAGAAAGGGAGTTGACCAGCCTGAGGCAAGGAGGGAACCTAAGTGAAGGGTGACGTTTCTGCCGTGGAGTCTATACCCTCTGGGCCTGCAGCTTCCCTGTTTAGCTATAGACACTTAGAGCTGCTAGAAGCCTGCCTCCCTAAATGAATATTCTCCTGACTCATCTACCTACTGCTCAGAGAGGCCACAGAGCTTCTGGAGGGCCAGCAGAACTCTGTCTGCTGAAGGAAGTGCATCCACTGGGGGGACCCTGGTAGCGTGCCCTGTAGGGCATTGTGCTGCTAACCCAGATGGCACCTCTGGTGCTTTGAATCCAGCAGCTACCCTTCTGGGGCGAGAAAGATGGGCAGGCTCCTCCCATGCAATTTACAACCTGTGAAAACCCACTGGAGGGTCAACCATGAGTTGATCCCAACTGAATGAGTTTGAGTTTAGGGTTTGGTTTTTTTTTTGCCTTAGGCAGTAAGATGGGGAATAAAACAGGCATTAGAGGGGAGAGAGGGTGGTGAGTGAATGTCTCAGATACTGTGTCTACTCACCTTACAGATATCTGCACCTCAGGAGAGACTGTATTCTACATGGATTGGGTAAGTAGATTATCTAAAAATAAGAGTAGAGCAGGAAGCTTACCCCTCACCACCACATCCCTTTCTCCCAAAAGTCAGCTGGGGGTTGGCCCCATGGGGACAGGCTTGAAGTAGGGATACCCACTCTCTCACACTGTTTCTTTGGATTCTCTTCACTCCAGAGGTTCTATCCTCGCCTCTCTGGACACCTTTAAGAAAATGTGGGTTTCCAAGAAGGAATATGAGGAGGATGGTGCCCGATCCATCCACAGGAAAACCTTCTAATGTTGGGACATCATCATCACCTCTCTCTGAAGTTAACTCCACTTTAAAACTCGCTTTCTTGAGTCGGAGTGTTTGCAAGGAACTGCCTGTGTATGCAAGTGCGTGTGTGGGTGCGTGGGTACGAGTGTGTGTGCATATTCGAGTGCCGTGTGGCCCAGGGATCCCGGGCCCAGAAAGGACGATGAATTACCCACGATGGCAATGGCCTGAGGCTTGGGGTTGACCACTGACTGGCCCTGACAGGGAAGAGTGCTGGCAGAGGGCCCCACTCCTGTCATCTGGGCATCTATCTGGCTGTGTGGGACTACGTTTACTACCAGAGGGAGGCATGGCAGGAGATAAACCCAACCCCTTCCCAGATGTTGCTGCTGCCTGTTTCAGGCTGGGCTAGCCTCTCCCCTCAGCCTCCAGGGTGGCCCGTCCCAGATAGCTGCTGCCTCCCCTGTTCTGCTCTCGATGCCTCGTGATCAGTGCTGAGGGCTGGAGCCAGGGTTGAGTTCTGTCTGGATTTGGTGTGGCTTGGGTTTGGGAAGCTGGAAGAGCACTCCAGGAGCTGCTGCAAAGATTCTAGGGCCAGGGAGAGGGCAGGAGCTCTCAGGTTCACGCGGGGACCAGGACCACACTGAGCATTTGAGGAGAGCAGGAGCAGTGCTATTTTTGCTGGGCTGCAGAGTTGGGGCTCAGCCCCTAACCCCACCCAGGGGGTCTTGGGAGAGTTTAAGGAGCCTATTGGCTGCAGGTCCTGTAATACTTGTTTATCATCCATCCTTATGTCAATGCCATCTTCAGTTTTATTTATTAAAGTGTTTGTTCAGTAAGGGGACTGAAGAGATTGGAGCTCAGTGCCTCCTGCTCACCAGTCACCCCGTTCACACTAAAGTTTACAGCACCTAAGCTTAGCGTAGCGTCCAGGGCCCCACCACTCCAGTACCCACTGACAATACCCATAAGCCTCAGGGCTGGTGTGGGATTGGGGGCAATCCTCAAATACACTCCACAGCTTCTTTCATTCTCTCCCTTCCACTTGCTCACTGCCCTGGAATCAATAGCCTGGCTGCCGGTTGCATTTTCTGAAATGAGAACCACTTTGGCAGAAGCCCCTTGTAAGAAGGGATGCTGGAGAGTCAGCCGTCTTGGGATAGAAGAGCTGCAATCAGAATGGCATTAACCAAGTTGCCTTTTCTACTCTAGTTGACCCAGGGTGGAGGAAGGGGGCTCAGTTGTAGAAGCAGAAGTTCCCCCTGAGCTGATCTTGTGCCATCCTTGACTTTGGATCTGTTTGGGGAGGGAGGGAGGGAGCCAGACCAGAACGCTAGGATTGATGGGCTCAAGCTCATCGCTGGTCCAGTAGGACCAGGTGCCTGCACTGGACTGGACAGCCCCCCAGCAGCGGTCCAAAGGCCTTTCAGCCCACATGGTGCAAGGCTGGGGCTGGTGACACCAAAACCCACCCAGTTCCAAATTCCAGGCAGTATTGTCCCCCATGCCATCCTATGACCAAAGGCCCCTGCCAGATGTGGGCCACAGCAGCAGGTGTGTGTGAAAGCTATGTGGCGACCCTCGGACTACAGTGTGCTAACCAGCTCACCTCCCTTCTCTCAGCCCAAGCCTATCCCTCGCACAGCCTCGCACAAACCACATTGCCTGGTGGGGCCCAGTATACTTAAATAAAGTCGTTCGATAGACCTGTCAGCTCTTGTCTGCAGCCAGTTCTAGGGGGAAATGGGAAGAGTTGGGTCCCTGAAGCTGAGGCTGAGTGGCCTAGTCTGACCTCTAGAGGGCATTGTTGCACCAGCCAAATTTGTCCCAAGCAAGGCCCAAGTCTGTCATGTGTATTGCTGCTAGTTGGAACCGACTCAAGAGATGACCCTCCAGCAGGTTTTCAGAGGCTGTAAATCACACAGGAGGAGGCTGCTCCTCTTTATTCCTCAGAACAGCTGGTGGATTTGAACCATCTCAGCCTCTGGGTTAGAAGCACAACTCCGTAGCCTCTAGAAGGTTACCAGAGCTCCCTGTCAGGTGTACGGATGCATAGAAATAGAGGATTCCCCCCTAAAGTCCAACTGAGGATCTCCACCACCCAGCTTTTGACATCTGAAATAAGGGGTTCTCAAAACTTTTAATGTGTATCTTGGAAACTTGTTAAAATGTAGTTTCTAGAACTTACTCTTGAATAATCAGTTCTTTCAAAGCCACATATGGGAAAAATAATTGCCAAGCACTTTACAAATATAAGTCATGTGCAGGTCAGGAAATAGAGCCACAGATTAACCTTTTTCCACAGAACAATTATGCCCTTTAAAAGCTAACATTGGAACCCCACCTGTACAGCCCCTAAGCACATCTCAAAAAAACGCCACTGTGGTTCTCAACTGGGAGTAATTCTGCCCCTCAGGACACATTGGACACTGTCTGGAGACATGGTTTTCACAGCTGGGGGTGGGGGCTACTGGCAGTTTAAGGGAGTAGAGGCCAGTGCACTTACTGCTGGACATCCACAACAAAGACATAACCCGCCCCACTCATCCCTAGTGCTCAGCTGAGGAATGCCGGCCTGAAGCCACAGCAGTTCTCAACCCTACCTGCACAGGATCATCGCTGACAGCTTTAAAAAAACCCAGTGCCCGGGTCAAGTTCTAGACCCAGTATCTGTGGGAGTAGGACTCATAAATCAGTGGTACTGCCAACTCAAAAACAAGTGGTTTGAATCCACCCATGGGAGGACGATGGGTAATCGGTGTGATTCACAGCTGGAGGGTCAGCTTGAAATAACAGCCCTTTGAAAACCCTGTGTACAACAGAGCACACTTAGCCGATCTGGCACCTGAGGCGGACCCCACAAATTTGGAAACACAAAGGAGGAACAACAGTTGCAAGGAACCACTAATGACTAAATGTGAGAAGCATGAAGTAGGAAAACACGACGTCATTAAGAAAGAAATGGAAGCTCCATCTCACATACTTTGGACACATGGCCAGGAAGGACTGGCCCTTGGAGAAGGACATCGTGCTCAGAAGGGTGGAGAGACAGCACAGGAGAGGAAGACCCCAGAATTGATGGACTGATAACAGTAACTGGGGTAATGAGGGTAGGTGTGTGGTCAGACTCAAGGCAGGCTTCAGACCAGTTGTCACTATGAGGTGCCGGCAACTCTATGTCACTTAACAATATATCAAAAAGTAACTCTAGAATTGAGAATCTCTTCCTTGGCTTTGGTGTTCAGCAGAACACATGGCAAGTGTCCTGGGACTCCCAGGCCTGGAGGTCTTTTCATTCCAAGCCCTTGTGCACCTTCCAAGCTGCATTTTCTCACTGGGACCTCAGGAAGTGATACAGGTATTAGTGAAATGTGGGAAGATGCTCTCAGCATGCATTTTCTATTGACAGTTCTTGTACTCCCAACCCCATCACCAGACCACAAGTGTACACCGCACAGACCTGAAGTACAAATGACTGCCTTTAATCAGTCTGTATCAAATGAACCCCTTCAGATGGGGGGGGATGAAGGCGTGGAAGCCCTACAGAAGCCAGAAATGGGGTGTGCTACTGTCAGAGCTCCAAGAGACCACCAGAGGGCAGAGGAGGGCCCAGCAGGCAGCGTGCACGCACTGGACAGAAGACACAGCTGCATGATCAGTTGTGGCTCCTGAGCTCACGAGAGAGGCCTCCTCCGCCAGGCAGAGGTGCTGTGCCCTACAGGAACCCCATGGGCACCACAGAGCAGCCCCATCTTTTCTTGGTCCTCTTCTTTCTTCCTGTCCCCTCAGGGGGAACAGATCCCTGAGCACATACATCAGCCCTGCCAAGCTGGCCAAGTCAGTCAAGCAGGAACTGTGACCCCTATGGCACTGCTGGCTCAGCTCCAGGCACTCCCAGGCTGCCATCTGTCCTCTGGGCTGCACCCGAGGAGGGCAGAGGCGCAGGATGCCAGGCTGGCAGAGAGGCTCCTCCTAAGGACTGGGCAGTGTCCTCCCTGCTCACACCGTCTTCACATCCTGGGTCTGGGCCTGTGACAGGTTCTGGCGCTGGGCTTTGACCGCATGCAGGTGTCTCCCGTGCAGTGTGAACTGAGACCAGGTGAACAGCTGCAGCAGGGCACAGATAATGGGCACCAGCACCAGCAGGTAGAAGCAGCCCTGGCGAAGCGTCGGGGCTTGAGCCGGGGGTGGGGCCGGGGGCTCTGGCCAGGGCTGCGCACTCCCCATAGGGGTGAGTGGGGCCTGCTGGAAGAGGTCATGACCTAGGATGAAAGCACAGAAGACACCATCAGCCCTGCTCCCTCAACGCCCACAGTGGGGCAGTGAAGATATCAACGCTTGATTTCTTTCTCTACATCTGCCCCTCCCCTATTCTTCCCTTCTCAGAGGACTCCTCCGTCCACTCAGTAACTTGGGCCAAAAACCTCAAAGTTGCCCTTGACTCCTCAGATTCCTTCATCCACTTATTTCCAGCTCCCCTGCCACCACTCCTGGCCCGAACCTCTATGGCCTCTGCCACAGCCAGTGCTGTGTTCCCACATGGCCTCCACACCATCCAGTCTCCAACAGCCAATGTGAAGGGGCGTCGAAATGATGACCAGACTCCACAATCCATGGAGGCTGGATGAACTCCGGAAACAGCCCAGAAATAATCTCTAAACCTTCAATGTCCCTCGAAGTCATCTCAAAACTGAACAAAAGCTTAGCTACTTCACTACTGAAAAAGGTCTGCCTTGAATATTACAGCCTCTAAGAGCTAAACCATGCCCGCTTAACTTGGAGTCTAACTCAAGGTCACCCTCTGTTGGGCTCTGGGGTGAAACAGTTTTATGAAAGGAGATGGTCTATCCCTCTCCCATGGAGCACCTGAGAAATGTGAACCACCAACCTGACTGGCAGCCCACCATGTAATGCCCCCAAGGTTCCTAAGTTAACAAAAGCAGCTTGAAAACTTAAGATAGCAACCTTGACGGGGAGAGAGAAACAATTCAGAAGAGGAGAATGAAAATGGATGTACGATTCCAAGAATGTCATCAATATCACTGAATTATGCATGCAGAAACTGCTAGGTCAGCATATGTTTTGCTATGTATATGCTCAACAAAACTACGTATACATATATAGATATTAATATTCATACATATATCTGTATATATAAGTCCCTCTATATATATCTGTATCTATCTAAAGAGAAACCAGACTATGTAAATCCTCTGCTTAAAACTCTTCCAGGGAGCTCTGGTGGCCTAGGGGCAAAAAGCTGTGCTGCAATCCCAAAGGTGCATGGTTTGAAACCACCAAATGCTCCACTGAAGAATG